GACCTCCCACCCACCTGTGGATTCAGTTGGCCGAGCACCACACAGACTGCTCCCGCTGAGGAAACCAGGGTCCCAGCCCCACCCCCCCACCTACCGGGTCTCACGTTGTGAACTGTGACGTTCGTGCTTATATGTAGAGGTGTTTTTTTGCATAGTAGAGCTACACCCTGCCGGTGTAACTCTGTTAATGCCTTTTTCTCCCTCCCCGAACTCTCCTCATGTAATCCCCTCTTCATCTATAGAAATGAGCGCCGTTATGGCTGCTCTCGTGGTTTGCCTGTATCTGTCCTGTCTATATGTGTGTGTGTAACCTTGGTCAGGCTGTTCTGTGGAGTCAAGTTCCTATGCTCTGGGTCGTTGGAGCGCTGGCAATAAAATTCTCTCTGATTAAACGTATCCTCAGACAGAGCTCTTCAAACAAAATGACAACAGCTTATTTTTAATTCTAACCTGTCTGCTTTTAGTTCTAATCTGTCACCTAAAAACCAAATACACACTAAAGAAATACACTACAAAACTAAGAAAAACTGCCTACAAGCAGCACAAACATAGCCAAGATACCAGAGTATTAATCACACTGGATGACTCTCTGTGGTTTCAAACGGTTGTTGCAGTCTCCTTGAGCCGCCTTCTCATCACTATTTAACACATCCTGCATTTACAGGGGAGGAGCGCGCCTGCAAGCCGCAACGTGGTGCAGTCATGGTAACGCTTATCGCACAACACAGCCACACACTGTTTAAACCAGGGGTCACCCACCTCTTAGTAACTGAGAGCTACTTAAAGGTTAGTGAGTCTTACAAAGGGCTACCTGTACATTACATACTTCTGAACTGTTGTATAGTTTATTTACAATGTATTGTTACTATTATTAACTCTTGAAGCTGGGATGGCCGGATCCCAACTCACCAAAGGTGGGACAACGTGAAATTCCAAAGCAACAAAATGCATTTTTGGCTCTAACTTTACTGCGTATTGTATATACAATTAAAATTATAATTTTATATTTTATGTCTGTTTGTCCAGCTCTGACCTTCAGCTCTTGCTGGGTAGGTTCACGGCCGAGTGTGAAGTGGCTGGGATGAGGATCAGCACCTCCAAATCTGAGACCGTGGTTCTCGACCGGAAAAGGGTGGCTTGCCAACTCCGGGTCGGGGGAGAGGTCCTACCTCAAGTGGAGGAGTTTAAGTATCTCGGGGTCTTGTTCACGAGTGAGGGTAGGAGGGATCGGGAGATCGACAGGCGGATTGGTTCGGCGTCTGCAGTGATGCGGACGCTGAGCCGATCTGTCGTGGGGAAGAGGGAGCTGAGCCAGAAAGCCAGGCTCTCCATTTACCGGTCGATCTACGTCCCAATCCTCACCTATGGTCATGAGCTTTGGGTAATGACCGAAAGAACGAGATCGCGGATACAAGCGGCCGAAATGAGTTTCCTCCGTAGGGTGGCCGGGCTCAGCCTTAGAGATAGGGTGAGGAGCTCGGACATTCGGGAGGGACTCGGAGTAGAACCGCTGCTCCTCCGGATCGAAAGGAGCCAGTTGAGGTGGTTTGGGCATCTGGTCAGGATGCCTCCTGGACGCCTCCCTGGGGAGGTGTTTCGGGCATGTCCTGCCGGCAGGAGGCCCCCGGGTCGACCCAGGACACGTTGGAGAGGTTACATCTCCAATCTGGTCCGGGAACGCCTTGGGGTCCTGCCGGAGGAGCTGGTGGAGGTGGCCGGGGAGAGGACGGTCTGGAGCTCCCTAGCTGGGATGCTGCCCCCGCGACCCGGACCCGGATAAGCGGAGGAAGACGAAGACGACGATGTCTGTTTGAATTTAACTAGAACAAGCAAACATCAAAATATTGCATACCCCACAGTTTCTCTCCAGTTAGCGTAACTTCTCTCAGACTCTTTGGACCGGTAGAATGGGAGCTTCACCTTCTGGATCAGCTCTGTCTTCACCACGACAGATTGGTACAACACCCGCATCACTGCAGACCCAGCACCAATCCACCTATCGATCTCACACTACATTTTTCCCTTGCTAGTGAGCAAGACCCAAAGATACTTAAACTCCTCCACTTGAGGCAGAATGATTTAATGTTAAATGACAGTGTGACATACAGACATGGACAAATTTGTTGGTACCTTATGGTCAATGAAAGAAAAGCCCACAGTGGTCACAGAAATAACTTGACACTGACACTAATGTGCCTTGAGCTTGAAGTTCACCTTGGATCTCTATAGAAGTTTTTTTGTTACCATCCAGGTTATACGTCTCTTTGATTTATTATCAATGTTCCTCCTCTGGCCACACCCAGGGAGCTTGGCTACAGTTCCATGGATCTGATATTTCCAAATAATATGTGCATCTGTAGACACAAGAACATCTAGCTGCTTGAAGATGATCGTATAGCCTTTACCTGCTTGTCTATCATTTTCTATCTAATCTCCTGAGACAACTCTTTTCTTTGCTTCCTCTGGTCCATGTTTAGTGGTACACACCATGTCACCAAACAACACAGTGACTACCTGGAGCCTTATATATAGGCCCACTGACTGACGACAAGATTGTTATGTTTATGTATTTAGCAGACGCTTTTGTCCAAAGTGATTGTGGACACCTGGGGTGCTATTTAGTGAACGCACCTTGAATTAGCATGTCCCTTTGGTCACATTATTTTCAGTCTTTTCTAAGGGAACCATCATTTTTGTCTAGACCTATTCCTTTAGTTTGTTTTGTAAATAATTCCATTAAAGCGTGGTTGAAAACTGGGACGTAATTTTGGGGGGGGACGGGTGGGACATGTCCCCCCCACTTTTTCAAAAGGCAGTTTTGGTCCCCTGCACTTTTTTCCGTCCAAAAACAATATTACGCTCCATTAAATGGATTTGATTGAGCACTAGGACCGAAACGGAAACCGGTTTCCTATTAGACCCACCCAAAAGCTAATCTATTGGCTCTGCTGATACTTGCTAACGTATTATTGGCTGTTGCTGCTGTCACTCCAAGTTGTAAACAGAACGTGCTCACGTTGTTTTGCTAGTTTGGAGCCGCTAGGGAACACCGGTACTGAGTCACATCGTCAACTAGACGCTGTGTAATATCAGAGCTCAGCTCAGCTTCCATTACATAACATTTGAATAAGTGTTCATTTGTGAGTCTTTGGTAGTTAGGCACAGCCAGGAGGAAGCATGTCAAGAAAACGAAAAGTGGATATAAGAGACTTCTTTCTAAGTCAAAACGTAAGTTGGAACATGTGACACCCCTGCATTAAGCTCAGACTCACCTCCTCCTTCACAAACATACTCAAAACTAACTTTTACAAACTCATCTCCTCCACATAACTGACTCCTCAGACACAATTTATTCGTATTATTATAATTATTGTTTTATTATTATTACTATTATCATCATAATTATTATTACTAGTAGTAGTAGTAGTAGAAGTGTAACTTCAAAACTTTTATCATTTAACTTTATTGTAAACTTATCTATTGCAATGTATATGTTCACATTAAAAAGCTCTGAAAAATGAACAGTATCATCGTCAACAGATTTTTTTAAGCTTAATGTCAAAGATGTACACTTTTCATTAGATTTATCTTATTTTTTCCATTTATTTTTTGTGTGTTGAAATGCAACAACTGTTTAAACACTTTTAAGGGAAAAAACATATTTAATATGTTTTTATACACTCAAATTGGTAATGAATAATTTACACATTATATTAATAATAATTGTGAATCATACTAGAACCATCCTGTAAATATTTCTGTTTGTTCCATTCCAAAATCTCCCACTGTTTATAGTTCATGCATCTTTTTTTCAGGTGAGTGACAGAGATGCAGGAGGAGAGACCGGTGAAGGTACAGCAGGAGAGGCTGTAGGAGATGGAGGACGAGAGCCTGGAGGAGATGGAGCAGAGGCTGGAGGCTCACAGGTGAGGTTGAAATAATGAAGATACGATAGACATAAAATTGATCATTGTGACAAATGTTAGGGTGATGATCATGTGTAAAACATTAGTTCAGCATGTCCTCTAACACAGCAAATGAAATAACGGCCAGATCTCAGGAGGGACCGTTTATGTATAAATAATTTTTATACTTTTGACTAGGCCTGGGAAAGTAACACATTTTGCTGGACGATATTTTGTCCAACAAATTGTTGATGATAAACGATATTGTCAACATTATCTAGACCAAAATAACCACTAATATAATGTTAATATATCATAATAATGCAAGTACACCCTTTAAAATGCAACAAATAAACCTTCATTTAACATTGAAATGTCCAGAACCAGAACTTCTAAATGAATAAAAATAACAAACAAAAATTAAATAAAAAAAAAGAATCTCACTCCCTGTTAGAAAATGTTGCACCAAAAACAATAAAAAAAGACCCAAAACAATAAATACAATGGCCTATCCATTGTCAACAGCCAAAACTGCACTTCAATAATGATAATAAATATTAATGATAATAGAGTTGTACATTTTTTAACTTTGATATATATATATATATATATACATATTGAGGATGGAAAAATTATTGAGATGGGCATGTGACGTGTCAAAGGGTCTTTACATAACACCCCCACCCCAAATCCGCACAAGCCTGCTGTGTCCCCCCCACTTCTGAAATCAAAATTTCGTCCCTGGTTGAAAAGCAACGTCTGACTTTCATTGCTTAAATTTAACAGAATTTTTATTTATTATTACTTTTGTCAGATTCAACGACCCACAGATACATCAGACTTTAGCTATGGCAACCTTCTTGATTTGGGTCAATGCCAAAAGGTCATCAGTTGCAGATGTCCACCAGTCCACCTTCTGTTGTCCTGCAGCTAGCTGGTTGAGACTTCAGCAATGCAGTTACCATCCAAGTTAATAACAGAACATATGACAAAAGACAGCCTTGGTGGAGTCCAATCTTACATTTAAATGTTTTTGTAAAATCTGCATGCAGACATCACGAGTCAGTAAAGGAAACCAGGAGCGAACTGACTCACCAGGTCCCTGTGGAGCACCCAGTTGGCATGAAGGTAATGGATGCCGTCCAGGATCTGGTACAGCAGAGACTTCACCATGCCTCGAGGCAGCTGCACGGGCTTCTTGTTGGCCTTGGAGGCACGGTGAAATTTAATGATGTGCTGCAGAGCAAGCAGGTGGAAATAAACATCTTAGAACAGTTCTATAGTGTTCTCTGATGACCACAACACTGTGCCACTGTAGCAATTTACTTTCCGTTTCCATGGTGACCAGAGTTAAATAAATGCTGCCAGTACAATCTTCTAGCTTCTTTCACACAATGGTAAACAATTAATCAGCTTCTGGCTTCTTTACAAGGAGCTTTGCTTCAGTTCTGATGATGGTGCAGTGTGAGACTCACCCACAGATCGTGTTCAGCGTAATCAAAGAGGAGCCACACCTTCCTGTCGCTGTGGGACAGGAAGACCTTCTGAAGAGCAATCACGTTGGAATGCTTCAGTTCTCGTAACAGCTGAAAGACACACAACAGGTATGTCTGATCATTTACAGAGAAGAGATGGTAACAACGCACAGAAGGACAGACGTAGGAAGATTACTTAAATATTCTACTAGGGATGTACATAGTTAACGGGTTAATTGTCGTTTATGTTGTAACCAAGTAAAATAGTTTTGCCTAGTTAACTGCTTCAAGTCTTTTTGCTGTGCTTGAGTCAGGGGCGAAGCTGGGGGGGGGATGAGAGGGAACGGCGCCTCGAACACAAACGAAGAATGCTGGAGAAGACGAGCACTTTCATAACTTGTGTTCAGTGGAGAATGAGCTCCATTCTTAATAATTACTCCAACGCTGATTCATTCAGGGTTTATATAGGCTGCCCCAGTCAGGATTGAGTCATGGCTGCTAAAAGACCGACTGACTTTAGTGATGTAGTAGGTGTAAAATATTGAATAAAATGTTGAGCTGCACGACAGGCTTTCTTTTTACTCTCACGTGTAGCTTTATGACCTGCTAATTTACAAGCGGATCTCCAATATCGTCTCCAAGTGTATTATGGGTAAAACTCGTCACCAGCCATCCACCAACATCGTCATCACTTGTCAACAGATAGCAAACTAGGTGGATAGCTACCTTGCCCGGATGCGGGTCACTGGGGCCCCCCCCTGAAGCCAGGCCTGGCGGTGGGGAGAAGGTGAGTGCCTGGTACCCGGGCTTTCAGTTGGTGTGTGAGGTTGAGAGGTTCCGACTAGATATAGTCAGACTCACCTCGACGCATGGCTCTGGCTCAGGAACCAGTTTCCTTGAGAGGGGCTGGACACTCTACCACTCTGGAGTTGCCCCGACTGAGAGGCATCAAGCAGGGGTGGGCATACTAGTTGCCCCCCCATCTTTGTGCCTGTACGTTGGGCTTTACCCTGGTGAATGAGAGGGTAGCCTCCCTCCACCTACGTGTGGGGGAATGGATCCTGACTGTTGTCTGTGCTTATGCACCAAATTACAGTTTTGTTTTAAAGCTCGTAAATGAGAATTAAACCAGGGAGCCAACCTCCTGTGCTTAATTACCTACTTTCATGTCTCAAGAACTCAGTTATAAAAATCTCAAATGTTATCAAAAAGTGGTCCGAGAGGACTGGATAATGTGGAAATATCATTATTTCCTCACACTCTATGCCATGAGTCAGCACAAGGTCTAATGTATGATGGAATGAGTGGGTGGAGCTATGTGTTCTTTGGGTACAACCAATAGAGTCTAAGACATTACTAAAGGCTACATTGAGGCTATCACTTTGTTAGATATTTTAACCAAAAGAAAGCACACCAGAGAAGATTGGTAGATTGATACGCTGCAGCGGAGAACAAGAGAAGCTGATCGGAACCTTACCTCGCTTGCTCTGCCTCTCTGCCCCCACCACAGCACTTTTATTTAGAGAGAGAAAATGAGGAACAAAGACCTATTCATCATAACCTTCGCTAGCCAATAACATTGTTGCTTCTATGCTAAGGCTAACCAATAACACCGTTGCTTCTAGGCTAAGGTGGGACATTCCAAAAAGGAAGTCTTTATTTATGACTGACAGCCAGAAGCTGCTGAACTTTGAATTCCTGTTGCCAAGCAGGTTTGTTCACCAACCCCCACAGCATACCAGAGCTTGATTGAAAGGAAAGAGCCCTGAGACATTCTTTTAAAACATGATGACTTAAAGAAGAACATTTAAGACAGTAAGACACATTAAATACTCTAACACACTTTCAATGTCCACAGGAATGTTAAAATCCCCCTCTACAATGACCTTATCAGTATTTTGCACCAAATCTGATAAAAATCAGAGATCTGATCGAAAAACTCAAGTAAGGGCCTGGTGGACGATATAAAACTACAAACAAGAGTGGTTTTACAGTTTTGCAATCTGGATTAGGAAAACTAAGAACAAGATGTACAAAAGAACTGTAGCTATTATTTGGTAAGGGACTGATTAATAGGTCTGAATGAAAAATGGTTGCTACTCCTCCTTCTCTCCCTGTACTTGGATTAATAATTTAAATAAGGAGTTGACTCATTTAAACTAGCAGTCCTCTTGCTGCAGCCAGGATTCTGTGAGAGAGAAATTTAGTTTTGTCACATGGTTTAGTTATAAATATTACAAACGTTGTCAATCAGGGTATTTCTGAACATCTTCCAGTCGATTTTACGTTGGAATTATATGGCTCAGTAATGATGTGACTCTCAGAGTTTTCTGCTGCGTTCTTGGCTGTTGATTTTATGGACTCAACTTCTATCAGTGACTTAGCTGATGTTTTTTATTCCACTTGCCTAAAAATCCTTGATAATGTGGCTCTCTTAAAAGCTTTGCATTACAAAAAACATCTGGAGCCACGGCTGAATGACACCACACTTGTCTGTAGACTTGAGTGCAGGCGTGTTGAAGGGAAGTGGAAGGACAAGCTACATGTGTCTCTACTTGCACTGCGGGAATGTCTGACTGTTTATCAGAATCGTCTCAAAATCTGAGTTTATTTGCAGCCTTGTTTCCACCAATAGTCACAGACCGCAGGTATTGTTAAGTGTTTTTAATTTCAGACAAATTTCAGTCAGGTTTTAAAGCACAGCATAGCACTGAAAGTGCACTTTTACAGGTGGTTAATGATTTATTAATGATCAGTGGTTCTGGCAACTCAGCTGCGTTAATGCTGCTAGATTTATCTGCTGCTTTTGACACAATTGATCATGATATTCAAGAGTTTCCCCTACATAAGCTCAGCGCTGCGCCATGCCTGAAACTCTAGCGCCACGGCTATGAATTCAAACACCCCACTCTCACGGCTGACGCATGGCACCAAAACGTTACGCGTGATATTACCCCCTTCCTCACTCTCATGGCAGCGAAACAGTCCGCAAATGTAACACATGTAATGTGGAGCACTGGGTGTCAATTAACTTTATGAAATTGAATGACCAGAAGAGAGAGATTGTAGTTTTTGGCAGTGGAGACCTGTTAAAGGGTGCTGTGAGCCCACTTGGTTCCTTTTCAGACTTTGTAAAGCCTTGTAGCGTCCAGTAATGGTCAGTTTTAACCAATATATTTGACCAACATCATCTGCAAGAACAAATCCACTATCTGGGTGGATTTTCTCTCCTGACGGTGGCACAGGAGTTAAGAGCTCGCCCTGTATTCGGAAGGTTGCAGGTTCGAGTCCCGCTCAGTCTGTCACTGTCGTTGTGTCCTTGGGCAAGACACTTAACCCACCTTGCCTGCTGGTGGTGGTCGGAGGGACCGGTGGCGCCGGTCTCATGTTAAGAAGAAGAAGAAGAAAATATCATTTCTATAACGCCTCTCAAGATAAAAATCACGAGGCGCTTAAGCATAATTCTGCGCACACGAAGACGCATAAGAGACCTGGATGATGAAGCTCAATGGTTAAAGGAATCACTGAAGCGTTGTGAAGCGCTCCGTCGCGCGTTTAGACGGTACCGTAGGAGGCGAGCTGCCATGGTTCGCCGCATTCTACAGCAGCGGGCTATATAGGTGCGCACAGCGTCCCCCGGTCCCCCCCCCCCCCCCCCCCCCGTCCGGAACTTTACCTCACCAGTCTGAATCAGCCACCCTGTCCGTAACAAGTCCGGACCTGTTACTAGGGGCTTTGCCCGGATAAATTCCGGAACACGTTATCCGGATGTTTGTATTCAGACACAAAGGTCTTACGGACAGATTCCGGAACATTTCCGTTTTTCATGGCCTGTCTGAAGGGGGCTTGATTGTGTTGTAAAGCGCCTTGAGGGGTTCCAGGACTCTAGAAGGCGCTATATCAAATACAGGCCATTTACCATTTGTTAAAGTTTTCACTCCCCGGGCTTTTTGACCCTAGTGAGCATCCGTTGGTAGGGTCTTACTCCAACACAAAATACTGCTTGCTTGAAGCAATTTAGGTATCTACTGCCCCCTATCACCAGGAAAAGTACACACCGTCACTTTAAATAATATGGCACAATGATGGGCACCACAAGGAAACAAGGACCTGGCTTCGTTTTAACACTTAAGCCGTGTTTAAAACGAGCCTTTCATACATCGCTCCACCAAAGTACAAATACAAAATTAAACAAAAATCTACATTTCTCTTCCAGCAAACATATGTGATGCGCATGTGTTACAATCTCTGGTTTTATGCCTTTAGAAAAGTTTGTTTTGTCTGTGAGTACAGCCCAGCTCTCCATATTCTTCAACCTGCAGCCCAGGGGATTCAATTGACTTTGTTCCTGGTTTCTCCACCATCACCTGGACCAGCTGGGAATCATCCAGAAATCAGCTGCTGAATAGCTTATAAGAGACTTCTTGTTCTGCCTGCAGTTGGGGAGCAGCCGATTGGGTGCTGTTTCCCCACTTGGTCAGCTTTGTTTGAACTTTGAGCTGTTAGAACACTGTGGTGGTCTACTAGTGTGAAATTGTTGCTTAGAAGCTTTGTTAACCTTTAGACCTACAGGTATGGAGAGTTAGGCCCTGTCCACAAATAGCCGGGGATCTGCCAAAACGTAGATATTTTTCTACGTTTTGGCCTGTCGTCCACACGAAAACTGAGTTTTTTCACACGAAAACGGATCTTTTAAAAAAACTCCGGCCAAAGTGAAGATCTGCGTTTTCTCCGTTTTGGGTGTCTGCGTGTGGACGGACAAAACCGGAGTTTTAAGGTCCGCAACGTCACTTTCCGCGACAAAAAAATGCTGACATCACGTGTGCGACCTGTGTTTACACTAGCCGACAGCATGGATGCCCTCAGAGCTGCGCTCGCTTTATCAATTGTCCAAGCACTTTCTGCTTGTTTGTTTTTGCAAGCGGAATTACTGCTCCTTGTGGAAGACCACAGACGAAGGACGAGGTTAAGAACGGGGGAAGTGCTGCCGCCTACAGGTCTGGCATGTTCTTAACAACGTATTTATCCGGGTACGTGTGGACAGAGTTCTTTTTTAAAACGAGGTGGTGTGGATGCAAGTTTTTGGAGAGGCGGATATTCGTTTTTTTTTT